TGTTGATATAATAAGCAGACACAAAGGACTAAGAAGATGGACCATTGCTTGTGCTGTATTCCGCAGATTTGAATCCTAGAATTCATCTGCAGGCACCTGACTACCTTGGCCGTGTGAGGCGTAGCTGTACTGAATGGGGACGAGATTCGCCGGAGCGGGCTGGCAGAGCTGTCCCTGTGATAGCAGGAGAGGTGCAGGTGTCCTTTAAAAGGGTCAGTAATGCTTCATTGCAGTGCTGAGTTCTGCAGGCTCTGCCAGTAGAAATGCACAAGGGACTGTAGCCATGGAGTCTGTCAGCCATCTGACTCTGGGGCTCACTGCGGGGTCAGTGAAAGCCACGTCTCCCAAGGAATCCTCAGGGCATGGGCGAAGCCATGGGAACATTTTGCCGTTCTGGGGTGGGCTGTGTGGGGCAGGCTCGGTTTTTGAATGTAAGTGAGAGCTGCTCACTATGCCTGACCTACCCCAGAGTCTTCCCTTAGCAACAGAAGGTGTTCGAATTTGTCCTACACTGCTCACCAGTGCTCTATTCCTGAAGTGTTCTGCAGCATCTGCAAAGGTAGAGAGCAAATGTGTGGTACAGGTATGTTGGGACTTCACTCAAAGAGGGCAGAGTTAAGGTTATGTTGTGGGGGTAGCATGTACTCTAATGTTCTATTTCCTGCTTTTCATGGGAGTTAAGTTTGCACAGGGTTTCAGAGCAATCTGACTGGTAAAAGCAGCTTCTTATTGGGGGGCTGTATCTGAGGAACCCCTAGACCAAACGGCCACAACCTCCCACCACTCGCTCTGCCTCCGGCCCAGATGAAGCACAGCAATTTTCAAGACAATCCAGGTCCACGTGTGGATTTTAGAGCACACAGAAAGCTGGCAGTTCAAAAGGAAGCTAGTCTCAACTGCTCCAGTCTATCTCACTTCAGCCCGTCCTAGTTGGGGCATTTATTCGCTTTCTCCCCAGTGGGTTCTCAGATGTCTACTGCGGGTTGATTTCTGACTGAAGCTTTTCCCACACTTGAGGCACTTATAGGGTCTCTCCCCAGTGTGAGCTTTTTGGTGCCTGGTAAGGTTTGAGTGCCGACTGAAGCTTTCTCCACAGTCCAGGCAGTTATAGGGTTCTCTCCTGTGTGAATTCTCTGATGCCTACTAAGACCTGACCAATCACGGAAGTTCTCCCTGCACTCAAGGCAGCGATAAGGTTTAGATCTCTCTCCAGTGTGGATTCTCTCATGTCTAAGAAAGGTTGACCAGTTACAGAGGGTTTCCCCACACTGAGAACATATGAAAGTTTTTGCTTCGGTGTGGATTCTCTGGTGGCCAATAAGATGTGGTCTCTCACTGAAGCTTTTCCCACAGTCAGGGCACTTGTAGGGTTTTTCTCCCATGTGGATTCTCTGATGTATTTTCAGGGTTGGGTTGTCAATAAAGCTTTTCCCACACTGAAGACATTTATGAGGTCTTTGTCCTGTGTGGGTTCTGCAATGTATAATGTGTAAACTCTGACTGAAGCTTTTCCCACACTCGGTGCATGTGTATTTTCCCTCCCCATTGGAGAATCTCTGGTGCATCATGTTTTTACTAAGATTCTTCAAACCACCTTCACATTGAATGGATTTACCCACTTTCTTCCCTGACTGGTTTCCCTGCTGTCTCTCTGGCCTGTGCTGACATCCACCAGCTTTTCCATGCTCTGGACTCCAGGACACAGTCCCTTCAGATCTTCCCAATAATGTAACATGAGTTTCAGGATCTTCCTGCTGAGGATTCTCTTCCACATTCTCACTCATCATCCCCTCACCTGCTGGGACAGAGAGAGAATCCAAACATGAGTCATTCCCTGCACTGGAGGGGGAAAGGAGAGAAACAAACCCAAATAGCATTGGAGAAACTGAAAAATCAGGAACAGAATCCTCCCCAAACCCTTTCCCAAGGGAGAGAGAGAAGGGGACAAATCTGGACACCATATCCCATCTGAACAATCAGAGTAGGGAGGTCAGGGGAAAGGGAGCTACAGCCAAGTGTCTAGAGTTCTAGGAACAACTGTGACCTGGCTAAGATGAAGCAGACCCTGGGGGACTTTAGAAGTAGGGTTGCCAACTTTCTAATTGCGGAAAACCCAATACCCTTGCCCCACCCCCTGCCCTGAGGCCCCACACTTTCACTGAGGCTCCACCCCTGCTCACTCCATCCCCTCTCCGTCTGTTGCTCGCTCTCCCCCACACTTGCTCATTTTCACTGCAAGGCCCAAGCAGGCACCTGGAGAAGGCCAGGAGCTACAACAGTTTGAATGTGGGAGATGGATTGTGTGATTCAAATTCCCTTCACCTCACCAGGGAGAGATTTTAAACACTACTGTAAAATTAAAATCTTTTTAAACTTCTTCTGAAGTGTAAAGAAGATACAAACAAAATTAAACAAAAACAGTTTTAGTGAGTGGCAATTAAAACTACTTACATTTATACTTCTGTTCTTTTCTTGCTGCCACCACAAGCTCTTTAGCTGCTTCTGTCTTCAAAAATCCAGCAAACTTGGCACATGTCATTTTATAGTTGAAGTGCACGAATAGCTCAGCTTTCACCAGGTCCACTTTGAGCTGATTCCTTTCATCAGTCCACAAGTTCTTCATAACACTGAAAATGTGTTCCACAAATGCATTGCCGGGTGGTATAGCAAGCACATGCTGCACAATTTTAAGTAAGCTCGGGGCCTCCGAGTGCTTAAAGAACTCTACCCATACCTCAGAGACATTGATTTGATGATGGTGCTCTTGTTGCTCCTGACACAATGTCAATTCAGTATCATTTGTCAAACGCTTTAGGGTTGGTAGCACATCATTCAATGTACACATTTCTGTAAATAGTTCATCGCCGTCCACTTGAATGTCCAAGTTTGTAGTCAAAGCACACAATTTGTCTAGTTCAAGAGGTCCATTCAGACTGAGCGGCGCACACAACATATAGAAAGAGTTTTCGCTGAAATCAAACCACTTTTCCAGGTACTGTAGCATGCGTGTGTAAACCTGTTGGGCATCTCCAACAAATTTATTTTGCTCGTTAGGCGGCAGTTTCTTCAAGAACTGTGTCACCTTGTATCCATAGAAGCCTTGCTCTTGTCGAATCTGAATCTCTCTTCTCAGCTTGTTGAATATAGCATACAGGTCAGTTACCTGAATGTAATCACTTTCAAGAACCTTTATCGTGTTGTTAAATTGGCTCATAATGTTGTGCACAAAACATATGTACAGCTCGGGAAGCGTAATAGTTTCATCATTGGATACTGTGTCCTCCTGCTCAGAAAGAAAGGCCCATATTGCACAGCTCACTGTTTCCTCTCTTTGCTCATAAAGTAAGACTTGAGTGCAGGCCAATTCTTCAGTAACCTGTCGACGGCAGTGAAAAGGGTTAAAAAATGTGTAGGTACATGGCATAAGATTTCTGAATATTCTGTCTCCATGAAGTGAAGGAACTCTTTAAGTTCACTAATATTCTTTGCACAGGAGAGGATTCACTGAAAACCTTGATGACCAAGTTCTCTACATCATAAGAGAGCATTTTCAAGTCATGTTTCGCTGTATTGTGTACTATGTGAGCACTGCAGTGCCATGGCACAAGGTTTGGTAAATCCAACATTTGTTTTAGGTGCACCAAAACAGACTTGTGTTTTCCAGAATTGACTGATGCGTTGTCTGCTCCATATGCCACAATTTTATCATGTATCAGACCAGCATCTTGAAGACAACTTCGTATGTTGTTTGCAATTGCCTCTGATGTCTTATCTGCATCCTCAAAAAAGTCTATGATACATGTGCAGCTTCCCTTATCTTTATTAAAGTAGTGAACCGCAACTGGGAATAATTTTGTTGTCCCTTTATTAGAAGCTTCTGTCACTATTGAGAACGACGTTGATCCAATGTCTTGCACAGTGAGTTTCAATGAATGGGGTGCTAATACATTCTCAATCAAAGCCTCCGCTTTTCTCCTTCCGCAGTGAATTTTGGACGCGATCTTGGAATCGGTGAAAATGGAGGGGTACAGCTTATTTCCACAATCTTGAGAACGGTAGTTGTGGTGATATTTAACTCCATGATATGTTAAAAGCAATTCAGCCATGCATACGTGTTGTTCTTCGGAGCCATCAGCATTTACGAAGAATTTATCGATCATACTGGACAACCTTTGAATCTTTTTCTTTTTGGGTTCTGCCATTTCACCTCGCACTAGTGTGACTGCAGCACAGTTTAGCCAATAGATACAACAGTGTCAACACTGTGGACGTGACAACACTAACTACATAGCTGACTGTTGATGCCTGCTGGCTAGGGTCTTAACTCTTTAAAGGCCAGTTGCTCCCCACTGCCTGTGGTTGTGCACTGAAAAAGTTATTCAAAGATTCGATCAAATATATTTTTGACAGATATATTATGCTAATTTCAGGTTTTATTTGTTACAGGATGCTAGAAAACACTAGAAAATTATGATAACCGGACTTTTGGTGTCCGGTCAATATGTCTGACTGCACAGGTCCCCTTAAAATTGGACATATTACACCTCTACCCAGATATAACGCGGTCCTTGGGAGCCAGAAAAATCTTACCGCATTGTAGGTGAAACCGTATTATATCGAACTTGCTTTGTTCTGCCGGAGTGCGCAGCCCCGCCCCCCCGGAGCGCTGCTTTACGGCGTTATATCAGAATTCATGTTATATCGGGCCGCGTTATATCGGGGTAGAGGTGTAATTATATTATATTATAGTTTTCTGTTTTCAGTGGAGCTAAAGTTAACATCGGTGTTTTGACCAGCTTGTGTAACATCCAATTCTGCAAGGACATCTCTATATTGGAATCAGTTCAATTAGCATCACCCTGGGAACTGCACAAACTGCTGCAACTGGCACATCAAACATAAAACCGCATGCTTACAATTTTCATGGTTAGTACAGTTTTATTAAGCCATGGCAAAATGA